ATAAATTTCTATTTTGTAATTTTTAACTCTTATCTATTATTATTTACTTTTCTCTCTGGTACAATTACAGTGAATAACAAGATTAATACAGTTTGACAAATCAGGAAAATTATTCGGTAGGCCTAATGACACCGACAAAGGTTACGGCAAAGTGTCCTTAAATGTACGGGAATTGTCCATGAATTTTTTATCGAGAATGTAGTAGACACCCTGTTAACAGCTTACATAACAATCTAAAATTCACGTTGGAAGAAGAAAACAACAAGTCATTAAACGTTTTGGACCTCACAATTTCTAGATCAACAGATAAATTTCAATTTAAAATATACAGGAAACCAACCACATCATCCCAGACAATTCACATCAACTCACCATCATCCTCAAAGTCTTAAAATGGCAGCATACCACAGTTTCGTTAGCCGATTCCTATCTATTCCTATGAACGATAACGACAACAATGAAGAAATAAATACCATCAAGTTCATCGCAGTCTCTAACGGCTATAGAAGTGATATGGTCAATAAACAAATACATAAACATAAAAACAAAAATAAAGCTTCAACCATGAATTTAAAAAAAATAGTTTTCACTTCAACAGAATATGGCATTAGTCTAAACAACACTCTAAAAAATGATCTGTCGAAAAACAATGTAAAATTATCATTTAGAACCTCAAACAAATTGTCATCCCTCCTAAAAGAAAAAAGAAAATCCTCATCTGATAAAAGTGAACTAACAGGTGTTTACAAAATTAATTGTGACACTTGCCCCAGTTTTTATATATGTCAAACTGCGCGATCTTTCAAAGCATGTTTCAAAGAGCACCTGCCAAAGAAATCCACACAGAAACATAATTCCGCATTGCTGAGCATCTAATTACAAACAATCATTCATACACTTCAATAGACAATAATTTAGAAATTCTACAAATCCACAAAACTGAAGGCAGACATTTAAATGTAATAGAAGAGTACGAAATCTACAAAGCTGGCAAGGAAAATCCCCAACACATTTTAAACTAAAAAGCCTCTTTTGAAAGTAATTTTTTATATGAAACAGCAGTCAGCATTGAAAGAATAGTAACAACACACAAAGGACCTGATAAGAACTGGAGGAGGGGGGGGATGGCAGATGGACAAGACGGCAGTTACGACAGTCTGGACTAGCAACTTAATGTACGTGTACCGTCCACCGCGCAGTTATTTGTGGCCACACGTGTATTTGTAAATAATGTATTTATGTGTTGTTTCTCGTGACGTATTTATGGACTTTATGACGACCTCTTCGGAGTGATATCTATGTTCCATCGTCGCCTGAAGATGGCCCCACAGCTGGGCTGAAACCGCGGTTGCCGCTCATCGGTGACATTTGATCACATTGACGGATTAAAGGTATTTTAACCTCTAGATTAATTTAAGTTTGTGATCAGGAGGCAAAAAACAACAGATATAAAGTAATTTACAATCAATTGGTAAATTTTTTTGAAAATTACACTGTTTGACTCCTTTCAACATGGGTTTTGTAGAGGTAAGTCAGTTATAACTGCTGCCACTGATTTTATTGAATCGGTCATTGATAGTTTGGATGGTAAATTTAAGGTAGCGGGTTTGTTCTGCATGCATATTTTATTACAACTTTATCATTAAGAAATGAGACACTATTCATGTATATATATATATATTCCTAATGTACTTGATGAATAAAGATAATTTGAATTGAATTGAAGTGATAAGAAACATTCCAAGAGAGACTGTGTGAAGAAAATATGCATCCACTTGAAACCTACTGTACTGTATCCAAAAGATCCGGGGAAATGCGGTGGTATTCTCCTGCTACTTCTCTGTCAACAAAGTTTCGCACAACACTCAGGGCCGATTTACCGAACAGGCACGGTAGGCACGTGCCTAGGGCGCTAAGCAATTGGCTTTTTTGCAGGGAGCCAAAAATTGGAAAATAATCCAAATTTGGTGGTTGTATTTTCATGCGATTGCGGTAAAACTTATCCCTCGCGACCGTATAGACTTCATTATCGTATCCCGCGGCCATATGGACATCGTAATCGTCTCCCGCGATTGCGGCAAAATGCTAATCATATCCAAAAGTCGTGTAGAGATCATCATCGTCTTCCGCAATCACGGCAAAATTCTGATCATCCCTCGCGACCGTGAAGGTGTCAATATATCGTCCCCCACAGTCGTTTGGACATAGCAATTGTCTCCCGCCATTGCGGAAAAATAGTTATCACTATGAATACACAAACTATAATCGTCTCCCGCCATTGTGGAAAAATAGTAATCTCCCGCGGTCGTGTGGAGATCATCATCGCCTTCCACGAATGATGCAAAATTCTGACCTTTTCCTGCGGGCCGTGTGGACATTATCATCGTCTTCCACAATCGCTGAACTATTCTGGTCATTCCTCGTGCGTCAGATAATTCTTGTATCTGACGCAGTCCTGTAGACATCGCAATCGCCTCCCACGATTGCGGAAAATGTTTATGTTAATCTTATCCTGCAGTCGTGTGGAGGTCTTCCGTGATCGCGGAAAATTTCTGACTGTTTCCCGCGGATGTTTGGACATTATCATCGTCTTCCGTGATCGCGGCAAAATTCTGATCATCCCTCACAGCCATGTGTAGACATATCCCCTCACAGTCGTGGTAGAAGCAGTCTGTAAGAGACTTGTTGATTGCAGGTTTTCCACAACATTTGCTGTACCGCAGACTAGGCCTGGGTCTGTCCATAGCTGAGCCTGAGAGTCCCTCACAGTTGTGGTAGAAGCAGTCTGTAAGAGACTTGTTGATTGCGGGTTTTCCACAACACTTGCTGTACCGCAGACTAGGCCTGGGTCTGTCCATAGCTGAGCCTGACAGTCCCTCACAGTTGTGGTAGAAGCAGTCTATAAGAGACTTGTTGATTGCAGGTTTTCCACAACACTTGCTGTATCGCAGCCTAGGCCTGTATCTGTCCATAGCTGAGCCTGACGTAAGCTTCTAGGCAGCCAGTGCAACTCCGAGGATCGTGGATCGGATCGGAAAACCCCCCACCACCGGTCCGTGATGATGACGTGACGTCAACCATTACCGCAACGATATGGAGCTGAGTCATGAGCCTTGGTGGTGTAGTGGATAGCGTGTCGGGCTGATAATCTGAAGGTGCCGGGTTCAAATCCCGCTGGTAGCACTTTTTGTCAAAAATTTTTTTTCATATCAGCAAGTTTGGTTGGTTTGGTTAGGTTATGAAAGTTTAATTTTATAATTATAAAATTGAATTTGAGACATTTATAATTTTATTTTTAGAACAGAACTATTTTTTCGGTTAGTAAACCTTCATTCGAGTTTTTCATTATCAGCAAGTTTGGTTAGGTTATGACAGTTTAATTATATTTAATTTAAATTTAACCTACAAATGATACGTTTTGACAGTGACAGTGATAGAGATAAACATTTTCGGCGAACAGTTAGGCTATGAAGATGCGCCGGTATGATTCGGAAGCGTACGACATGGTGCGGTGGTGGGGGGTGTTCTGATCCTTGATCCTTGGAGTTGCACTGGCTGCCTAGACGCTTGTGAGCCTGATAGTCCCTCACAGTTGTGGTAGAAGCAGTCTGTAAGAGACTTGTTGATTGCAGGTTTTCCACAACATTTGCTGTACCGCAGCCTAGGCCTGTGTCTGTCCATAGCTGAGCCTGACAGTCCCTCACAGTTGTGGTAGAAGCAGTCTGTAAGAGACTTGTTGATTGCAGGTTTTCCACAACATTTGCTGTACCGCAGACTAGGCCTGGGTCTGTCCATAGCTGAGCCTGAGAGTCCCTCACAGTTGTGGTAGAAGCAGTCTGTAAGAGACTTGTTGATTGCAGGTTTTCCACAACATTTGCTGTACCGCAGCCTAGGCCTGTGTCTGTCCATAGCTGAGCCTGACAGTCCCTCACAGTTGTGGTAGAAGCAGTCTGTAAGAGACTTGTTGATTGCAGGTTTTCCACAACATTTGCTGTACCGCAGCCTAGGCCTGTGTCTGTCCATAGCTGAGCCTGACAGTCCCTCACAGTTGTGGTAGAAGCAGTCTGTAAGAGACTTGTTGATTGCAGGTTTTCCACAACATTTGCTGTACCGCAGCCTAGGCCTGTGTCTGTCCATAGCTGAGCCTAACAGTCCCTCACAGTTGTGGTAGAAGCAGTCTGTAAGAGACTTGTTGATTGCAGGTTTTCCACAACATTTGCTGTACCGCAGCCTAGGCCTGTGTCTGTCCATAGCTGAGCCTGACAGTCCCTCACAGTTGTGGTAGAAGCAGTCTGTAAGAGACTTGTTGATTGCAGGTTTTCCACAACATTTGCTGTACCGCAGACTAGGCCTGGGTCTGTCCATAGCTGAGCCTGAGAGTCCCTCACAGTTGTGGTAGAAGCAGTCTGTAAGAGACTTGTTGATTGCAGGTTTTCCACAACATTTGCTGTACCGCAGCCTAGGCCTGTGTCTGTCCATAGCTGAGCCTGACAGTCCCTCACAGTTGTGGTAGAAGCAGTCTGTAAGAGACTTGTTGATTGCAGGTTTTCCACAACATTTGCTGTACCGCAGCCTAGGCCTGTGTCTGTCCATAGCTGAGCCTGACAGTCCCTCACAGTTGTGGTAGAAGCAGTCTGTAAGAGACTTGTTGATTGCAGGTTTTCCACAACATTTGCTGTACCGCAGCCTAGGCCTGTGTCTGTCCATAGCTGAGCCTGAGAGTCCCTCACAGTTGTGGTAGAAGCAGTCTGTAAGAGACTTGTTGATTGCAGGTTTTCCACAACATTTGCTGTACCGCAGACTAGGCCTGGGTCTGTCCATAGCTGAGCCTGAGAGTCCCTCACAGTTGTGGTAGAAGCAGTCTGTAAGAGACTTGTTGATTGCAGGTTTTCCACAACATTTGCTGTACCGCAGCCTAGGCCTGTGTCTGTCCATAGCTGAGCCTGACAGTCCCTCACAGTTGTGGTAGAAGCAGTCTGTAAGAGACTTGTTGATTGCAGGTTTTCCACAACATTTGCTGTACCGCAGCCTAGGCCTGTGTCTGTCCATAGCTGAGCCTGACAGTCCCTCACAGCTATGGTCCCACGTGTGGCATTACCTCACCTCACTGCACAACCCCCACCACTACATGTCATGTGCCGAAGTTTGGCTTCCGTTTGTAGCTCAGCACTTCTCGGTAAATTATTACTCAGTATTATAATTTCAATGTTGTTGGGAGCAAATCAATCCTTTAAATATATTCTGGGTTATTATTGTGATTTTGTATCCCTAAGAAATAGATGTATATTTTTATTTACTTTTAAAATGTATTAAGGATGTCATTGTAGTAAAAATACAACATGCAATTAATTTCTGTTGGTTGGATCGAAAGGGAGTATTAAGTAATGTATTAGGCTCTAATTTGATTATAAGCTGAATAATCAAAGCATGAACAGCTTATACAAATAAATTCATTTTTTAAAAATAAAGCCAATATGTGTAATAATGTTTTTTTTTTATATGTTTTAGGTTATACCCTCAAACTTAACGTGTAAAATGTTGAAAGATGAAACTTAAATGCCGATAGGTAATATTACGGCCGATCAGGGTGATCTGGATTCTTTCTGTATTACCATCACTGTATCAGTCACAAAAGGACCAATATTTTACATCTAATCGCTCATGATCAACGGATTTACTTATATTAAGCATGTATGTCAAGTTAAAGATTGTGACTATTCTGCTAATTTGCCCATAGCCATTTAATGTGTTTGTGTGGTTGGATTTTTGTTTTATTTGTCTGCTGTAAAAAATACAATGTATACTGAGGATTTTTGAAGGGGAAAAAGCAACTTGGCTTTAGCAATTGTTAAGAAGAAAGGAAGGATACACAACTTGAAGAAAGAGTCCCAGAAGGTCAAAAGAAAACAAAAAACGAACACAATCTGACTGATAGTTCACCTCTTTCAGAGGCTTCTTCAGAGGTAAAATGATGATGATGATTCTACCTCTGAAGAAGCCCCTGAAAGGGGCCAAGTATAACTCAAATTGTGTTCCTTTTTTGGGTTTTTTAACTTCCTGGGTCTCCTTCTTCAGGTGAGTTAGTTCAGTTGTGTATCCTTCTTTTCTCTTTAGCAAATGTAAACTAACAAGTCATTTTAAAAACAAAAACACATTATTTTTATGGGAAATTTACAATGATATGTATTTCCAAAAAGTAAATAAGACCTATGAAAAGGCAGTTCCAGGGTTAATAAATAGAGGATTTGTGCCGTATTTTTTTTATCTAGTTCAAGAAGTTTTGTTACTCTACGTTTATCTTTTCAGAGTTTTGAAGTGGACGTGTTCTTACAAGACATCATCCAGCACTTGTCTCGTGACAGAGCTTATGAGAACTTTTACCCACAGCTACAGCACATGGCTGGGAAACTGCTAACTTTGACTACTGAATTGGAATCCCTCTTCACTATGGTATTCCACTGTTATCAAATCAACTTGTTTGTGAAGCATTCCAAATACAGTAGACCCCCTCTTAACCGACCCTAATGGGACCGGACCTAGGTCGGATAATTCAAAAGGTCGGATAAAACGGGCAATCCCTAAAATCATAACATAATGAAGTGCTATTCATTTAGAATTATATAATCATTATTTTGAAGTCATACTTGCATTATTTATAAAATAAACTACTCTTATCTCCTTTTTCATATTGATAGAAATGTCACAAATAAACACAAAACACGGTTAAGTCAAATAGGCCTACTTTCAGTGAATATATTATAATACTAGGCAAGAGTCAATAAAATTCCTATTTTAATAACTTTACTACTGTAGTGTATTAATTAATGCTTTCCAAATACATCGTAATACAGTACAGAACCTTTTGTCGTCATTAAAGATACAAGCGACAATTTTGTTACAAGACAGGACGTTTATTTATGGCCACTCACTGGAGATTCGAGGCACAAAAACTATCTTGACCTTGGAGTTGTTAACACCCCTTCCCTGCCCTCCCTACAAGTTGCATTGTTTGTTTACTCCAGCGATAAGATAATCAGTTCTCAAAATCGTAACGCACTTTATGATGTTATAAATTTGCTGCACAGATAACATATCTGATCAGATGTGCTCGAGCTACGAACGATGATGACAAACTGACAATAGGCTATGCTATATTTTTTGTGATCAACACAAAATAACTTATTGTTAGTCATATCCTGTAGAGATAAGCGTATGGTTCAGTTCTCATCGCCCAGCGTGGGAGCGGAAATGCCGAGATTCCTAGAAAGCGGCGGTTAAACCGAGCTGCTCTCAAAGCAAGGTCAGTTAAAACAAACTGTATTATTTTACGATCAAAGGCGGATAATCCGATTATCGGTTGAGGTCGGTTAAGAGGGGGTCTACTGTAACGTGGCTTATTACGTAAAGTATTACATTTTTCAGGAACCCTGCCAGTTTATCCCTACCAGTGATCCCTCCAGTTTATAAAATAAACATCTAATGTGAATATTAAAAAAGTATTTTAATTTTTAGTAAATGTAAACAGTACTTATACTCTATGATTAGGGATGGGTCAGTTGTTAAAGTCGGTTGTTGGCTTTACCGGGTTTTAGTAAAAAATTAAAAGCAAAAAATCCTAAACCGAGAATTGGGATAAAAAGTCAGGGTACCGATGCAATAAAATACCCATTATCAGCAGTCCCGAACCCACTAATATTTTATCAGGACGATCTCGTTGAGTCAGTAGTTTAGCTCATTAATGTTTTATCACTTTTATTCCTTTACGGCTTCTGTCAATTATGAGATCCCAAACCTATTTCATCATGAAAATAATAGTTTTATAATGGCTGTTAAATTCTAAGCCCTGTCCCTGTGTCGCCATATTAGTTTACAGCCATTGTATGTATGAATGCACAACAAACAATTGTCCCGGACCACTTGGATAGCTAGTACCTAGTGTTTTGGTTTTAAAGTATTGTTTTATAAAAATCGACTACTGAAGCAATGAATTTAATGTTTAACCTGTTACATTTTCAAATAATAACTAAATTAGTTCAGTTGAATCAAACTCATACTTTAATGTAAACAGAAAAACGAATACAAACAAAACCAACACAAAATAACAGGTGATTCACTTACACATATGGTCTTAAGTCAGTACATCAGTTAAACACATCAATTCTCCCCTCTGAAATGTTTTGGTAACGTTATTTTGCATTTGAGTAATTGGTCAACACGACGCCTCTAGACAGTTCCATCGTCCATTTGTACTTTATACAGAAGGTTGCTTTCCCTTTCCAATATTCTTCCAAAACTCCACTTGTCTTTTGAGTTTGAATAATTTCTCACTTGTACTCTGTCTCCCTCCTTAAAATATCTTGTTGCTTGCTTCACATGTTCAGTTTCTTGTTTACGTGTAGGATGTAAAAGAGCTATGTGTGTTCGAATCTTCCTGCCAAACATGAAGGAGTATGCATCACAGCCAGATGAATTTGAGGTTTGACGTAACTGCATAAGCATTCTGAAGAGTTTGACGTCTAGTCTCCCTCCCTCGTCTTCCATTGCTCTTAGGGACTTCTTCACAGTCTGAACATAACGCTCAGCCTGCCCGTTTGACAAAGGGTGGAAAGGAGCAGTTGTTTTGTGTACCACCCCTTTTTTTTTATAGGAACTGTTCGAAGACGCTAGACGTAAATTGACTTCCATTGTCAGAAACCAAAATCATGGGAAGACCAAATGTAGCAAATAGTTTTTTAAGTTCTCTTGTGTAAAATACTGTAGAAGTATTCTTAGTAGGTATTACCTCAATCCACTTAGAAAAGGCGTCCACAATAATAAAGTACCACTGTCCTTGCATTGGGCCAGCAAAGTCTATATGTAACTTTTCCCATGGTCCCTGGGGAGCTAGCCATGGATGATTTTGTTCCTTTCTTGGCTCATTTTGTTTCAAACGGCATTGTTTGCACGATTTTGCCAATTGCTCTATATCTCGGTCAATATTCTTCCATGCACAATTGCTTCTGGCTAGGGATTTCATTTTCTCCATGCCTAAATGCCCAATATGAAGTTCATCAAGAACCTTCCTACGAAGGGATTGTGGTATTAGAACTCGACATCCTTTGAATATACATCCGTCTTGAAGTGTTAATTCATTGTCATGGTACCCAAAAGCTTCCACTGATTTACCTTCTTCAAGTGCATGTAGTATTGGTTGAAGGTCATTGACCAATTACTCAAATGCGAAATAACATTACCAAAACATTTCAGAGGGGAGAATTGATGTGTTTAACTGATGTACTTGTAGTGAATAAAATCTACAGTCAATGATAAATACAACTAAACTTAACTCACATGATTGATTATTTAATATGTTTACTGTCATATGTTATTAGTAAATACTCAGCTTTGTTTATATTCCATTATTGTTCATAGTTCAGTTTTCAGATTAATAAAACCCTTTATTCTGATTACAATTAATCTGGGTTTACTTTCATTACAGTACTGACTTAAGACCATATGTGTGTGAATTAATGATCACCTGTTATTTTGTACTAGTGCACCTGTTGCTCGAATTCGAGCAATTGTAAAGTATTACAGGCGTTATTTCAAAAGGAATAACAGTCATAATTTCCGATTATGACTCAAAAGAGTCAACTCAAAGATAATGTAATCAATCACTCCACTCTAGTTATCGAAACTGCAAAAGTTATCGAACTCACTCTGAAAACGAACACTATTGTGTGTATAATGTGTTTACTAATGAACAGCTGTAATTAATACAAATATTATTCGTCTCTTTAAGTAAACAAAATCTTTTCATCAGAAATACATTGGGATTTTGATGGCCTGTGGGGCAAAGCCCGAGGACTTTTATTACAGGAATTAGTGAAAGGGGCCGTCTACACAAAAAATAGTTAATTTTGACACATCGTTTGTAAAAATCCGTCCATTGTTAACGAAGGAGTAGTGTTTCGTAGAAAACGCCTTCACTAATTATATATAAGGAAAGGATTTGTTTTGTTTGTACTAGTTTTTCTGTTTACATTAAAGTATGAGTTTGATTAAACTGAACTAATTTAGTTATTATTTGAAAATGTAACATTTCCCTTTTAGATTGTCAAATTTTGTGTTGGGTCTCGTGCCGGTTTCTTGAAATATTTGTCGATACAACATTTTCTTTGTCTTGTTCCTATCACTCTATTGGAATCCAGCCTGTTCAAATCAAGGTGTTCCATTGTTTTGCGACATACAGTTTTGCTCTCAGATTTAGCTAGTTCCATTGCCGATGCTTCGTTAACAACGTCTTTTTACGTGCGTTTCTCTCGTCCTTGAAGAAGTTTGGCTCGAATATCTATGTCATTCAAACCACGAATAAACTGAAGTTTAAGAAACATCTCTGCAACCGACTTTCCACAATCACAATTAAAGTCACAGTTGCTAGTTAATTTCTTAAGTGCTATTGAGAATTCATTTATGGATTTAAAACCTATTTCTATTGCATATATTACATTTTGTAAATATTGTCTATTTTATACGAAATAAAGGATTTTAATTTGATTTGATTTGATATGTATTTAATATAACTATTGATTGAACTCCAAACGTTTCTAAAAGTACCGTAAACGAAAAGATCAGCGGAAGCAGGGACAACGGCCGGCGTCGCGATTTAAAAAGAACCTCCTTGCACTACTAATTACTCAATTACACACGACTAACAAATTTTATTTGAAATTGCTTGGTTATATCATAGATAAAACATACTCCCTTATGGTTGTATGCTGAAGATCATCTCATTAGCTACAATTTTGTCGCTTGAATTTGCTTCTGGCCAAAAAACCCTCGCTTAGTAAATTTTTCATGTGAAGGTGTGATATTTTTTTAAATATTTTCAGTTGTTAAAATTTGAATTACGAAATCAGATTATATTATTTATACTGTCAGATTCTGCATTTAATTCAGATTCCGAATATATAACTGTAATTTCAGTCAAACTATTGTAGGGACGGCCAGGAGCGTATTAACAACCGTGTGCACAGCTTGAGGAACTTACATATCTGCATTGGGTCCCACATCGAGGTGGGGGATGGTTGCCGTAACGGCGCACTTTATATCCCAAATCTCCTATCTACCCAGTGTTCCAGTTGTGTTATACAGGGTGTATATAAAAAATCTACTTTTTCAAGGAACTATGAATTTTCTGTCATATCATGGGGCCAGCCCACAAGGAGTCGGAAGAAAATATTAAATGGAAGCATAGGTCAATATGCACATCAAATGAAAGGTCTTCTTTAGTAGAAGACAATGCCGCAAACCGCACTTCAAAAGGTTGATCCTGCGCAAAATGGCAGCCGTTCAAAGATTTCTTGAATATGCCATTTTGAATCTTTGAACGACTGCTATTTTTTACTCAGGCGAAAAATTCATAGTTCCTTGAAAAAGTAGATTTTTAGGTGTGGTGTTGATGTACCAAATCTTATTGATTTATCTGTTGTCGTTTGGAAAATATTAAGCCCGTGCGGGACTTTATATACACCCTGTATACATCGATGCTTTTCTTACACCGGTGTTGATCGTAAACTCCTCAGATAGATCTCCTTCCACTCTCACTTTGGCTTTTGAGTCTTTCATACACATTTCTGTTAGTTTAATTAGTTTTTCTGGCAAACCATGCTTTTTTAAACTTTTCTACACGCTGATTCTGTCTATGCTGTCGTATGCTTTTTTGAAATCTATAAATATTGCACTAACATTCTTGTTGAACTCCCAATATTTTGAAATTAACTACTTTAGAAAAATCTGCTCTATTGTGGACCTCCCTTTCATAAATCCAGTTTATTGTTGTTCAATTAGCGTTTTTTCATAGGGGTTTAGTCTTGAGACAATGATTTTTGAAAGTATTTTATATGTATTATTTAATAAAGAAATTCCTCTGTAGCTCTTGCAGTTTTGTTTGTCCCCCTTCTTGTGAAGAGGAATGATTGTTGCCGTTTTTGGCGTTTTTAATTCATTAGGTATCTTTTCTTTTTGCCATATAGTTGTGATTAGGTTGTGGATTTCATTTTCCAATATGCTTCCTTCACTCTTGATTACTTCTGCTGTGATCCCATCTTCGCCCGGAGCTTTGTTGCATTTTAATTCTTTGATTGCCATTTTCACCTCTTCTAACGATGGTGGGTCTATATGAGGCTGTTCTGGCTGTATATGATGGAATGTTGTATCTTCATCAGGGTATTAACGACAGTATTCTCGCAGTTTAGCTGGCCACCAAAATAGTCTTTCCATATTCTTAGTGTTTTCTCTTTTTCTGTGGTAACTTTTCCTTCTTCATCCATTATGCCGAATGTTCTCGCTTTAAATCCTCCTTTGAAGAATCTTATAGTTCTATAAAAGTCTCTAGTATTATTGGCTGTTCTATCTTCTTCTGCTTCTCTGAGTTTTTCATTTAAGTAGTCTCTTTTATCTTAAGTATGCTTTCAACATTTTTGTTTTATTTCTACATTGTCTTGCATTATGTAGAAACTAATACTGGATCATGAGTATCTTTTAATTTCAACGTATTGTTTTAGGAGAAATTCATGCCGTTCGTAGACATGATCAGGAATGAGGGTGTGAAGGTGGCAATATGCAAGAACATCATGGTGGAGTTTACAGCCAAGATGGGACCAGTCAATGACCCAGTCACTACCAACGCACTCATGTCCATCTGTCAGATCATGCATGATTCAGTCAAGTGAGTAAAGGAGATATTATCACAAGAAATAGGAATTTAAATCTTCTAACATGTAAAAAATATATATTTATTATAAAAATAACCAGACAATAGTTTAAAAAATATAAGTATGTTGTTGGATTTAAATAACCCTGCTTTTATAATAATAGTGACATTCATGTTAAGGTAAAGATGTTGTGTCTAAAGTTTTACATTTAAAAAATTAAACACCATCAATTATGCATGTTGATTCTTGTGTTGGTATCAAGAACCTGAGTTGTTGAAATAAACTTTACATTGAATAAGTAATAACTATCTAATCTTTACAATATAGCTATTTTTGAATAAATCATAAATGAACAGTTCTATTTGAATACCCTCAAATGTTACGGTTAATATTGTCTTAGTATTAAAACATAGGTCTACTGTGAGTTGAATAATGATTGTACTATGTTTGTTTTTCTCAGTGCTCTAACTGTGGAAGATGAGAAGAGGCAGATCAGTCAGCTGATTGCTCAGTTAGTGTTGCGGGTAGATCACGGCCGAGACTTTGAACAACAGCTATCCTTCTACGTCGAGGCTAGAGCTGCATTCAGCAACTTGGACTATGTACATGCTATATTGGTCCAGGTATGATTTTTAATCACAAGAAAGAAATTTATAACTGACAATTATTAAAATTGTTAAGTACGAAATAAGATCAAGTTAGGAATATTGAATTCATATCTTCAATAGTTCATCACTTAATAGCAATATTATTGCAAAATACCTTCTTTAATTTATGCTTGTTTTGTTCATTAATTTGCCAGGACTACTGCAAATACTTAGATTTTTCTTTGTTGTATAGTTGTTACTGTCTTATTATTTAAAATTAGCCTGATTAATAAAATAGTGAAAACAATACAGTTACAATTCAACAACATGTAATCTAATTAAAAGACAAACTAATAAAACCTAACAAAATACAAATTATTGGCCTAGTACACAAAGAGTTCAATACAATACAATACAATACAATACAATATTCTTTATTGTTAATTCGTCAAGAATTACAATAGTGTCAATACAATAGTGAATTGTACATGTTAATTTTCATAAAATTCCTTTATTGAGTAGAAGGGTCTTGCGATTAGCCACTTCTTCAACTCCTGGTGTAGCTTGTTGCCAGTCAGGTCTCTCAGGTAGTCAGGTAGATGGTTCCTCAGCTTGCAGCCGGTGTAGGGAGGTTTTTTCTCCCAAAGAGTTGTTCGGTGAACTGGTAGTGCAAATTTGGAGCCATGACGGGTGTTGTAGTGGTGCAGGTCTCGGTTTCTTGGGGGGTTTATTTCATTCACATACTTTATAGATTCAAGTATGTAGAGAGACACCATTGTGAGGATTCCTCGGTTTGCGAATGCTAGTCTGCAAGTCTGTGGTGGGACAAGGTTGGCGACCCCAAAGCAGAACAACGAGCGACGCTGCGACATTGTCGCGGACACGAAACGCCGAGAAACGCGGGCCTGCGGACACATTTACGGATCATAACTACGATCGTGCCGTGGCCGCGATTATTGGACCGACGATCGCACCGTGACCGCGAGTCATAACGACGATCGGGCTGTGACCGCGGAGTCATAACGACGATCACGCCGTGACCGCGAAGTCCTACCGACGATCACTCTGTGACCACGAGTCATACCGACGATCACGCCGTGACCGCGAGTCATACCGACGATCGCGCCGTGACCGCGGAGTCCTACCGACGATCGCGCCGTTACCGCGGAGTCATACTGACGGTCATGCCATGATGGCGAGTCATACCGACGATCACGACGTGACCGCGGAGTCCTACCGACGATCACTCTGTGACCACGAGTCATACCGACGATCACGCCGTGACCGCGAGTCATACCGACGATCGCACCGTGACCGCGGAGTCCTACCGACGATCGCGCCGTTACCGCGGAGTCATACTGACGGTCATGCCATGATGGCGAGTCATACCGACGATCACGACGTGACCGCGGAGTCCTACCGACGATCGCGCCGTGACCGCGAGTCATACCGACGATCGCGCCGTGACCGCGGAGTCCTACCGACGATCGCGCCGTGACCGCAGAGTCCTACCGACGATCGCGCCGTGACCGCGGAGTCATACTGACGATCATGCCGTGATGGCGGAGTCATGCTGACGATCGAGCCGTGACCGCGAGTCATACCGACGATCGCGCCGTGACCGCGAGTCATGACGACGATCGCACCGTGACCGTGGAGTCATACCGACGATAACCCCGTGACCGCGGAGTCATACCGACGATCGCGCCGTGACCGCGAGTCATGACGACGATCGCGCCGTGACCGTGAGTTCTACAGACGATCACCCCGTGACCCGCGAGTCACAAGTTTCTATAGGTACCTGTAAATTGTTACCCATTTTTTGGTTTTTATAGATCAGTGCCACAAATGGTAAAAATTGATTTCGTATGTCTTTTTTGGTAACTGCAATACAGAACTTTTTTTTATGCACAGAAAAAAATCCTGTCCCATCCCGTCCCGAAAATCGGGAAGGAAATAAAAATCCCGTCCCGTCCCGAACTAAAATTTCAATCCCGTCCATCCCTAGTGTGTTTATATAAAGAAACTATAGTACATTTAAAGTTTTACTTCTGAAGACCTTGTTAACACTTGTTAAGGTATGTGTATATATATACGTATTTAAAAAAAAGTAAATTTAAATAACCTGATTATGCCTACCCCTTAATAGTTTTTTAGTTTTTTGTTTTAAAAGTAGGCTATACAAGTTATAGAAATTTACTTATTTTATTTAACTATATTACTAGTAGCCCTAAAGAGTGAATATATATATATATATATATATATATATATATATATATATATACCGGTATATAAGTCATTATTTAGCTTTTTAGTTTTAGCGCTTGCGGACACATTTTGAGGTTTTCACAGGCCGTTGCAGACACGTAGGAACCATTCTGCTTTGGGGGTTGGCGAGGGCTCTTATGGTTTTCTTTTGAAGGACAAGAATTTGATTAATATTTTTTGTTGAAGTTCCTCCCCACACTGTCAAGTCATATCTAAGATGCGACTCTACCAGTGCGAAGTAAGCTGTTTTGGCCACGGAGAGTTCGCCTATGTAGTTTATTCTTCTGACGACATATATTCCAGTACTGATTTTTTTGCTTAGGTGGTTGATGTGCTCTTTCCATGTTAGTTTGTTATCAAGGATAACACCGAGAAATTTTGTGTGGTTTTCTATTGTTACATCCTCTCAAGAATACTAGTTAATATACAACTCAAGAATAGTAGTTTGGTTTATTTGGTACATATTGGTGTTTATTGTTTTCAAGGTTAATTTTAAAGATTAAGAATGAAACGCAAAAGACCTCTGAAGCGAAAATATATACAGAAACTGCAAGTGAGAGATGCTACAATCGATCGTCAGGAAACACATTTTACCTCTTCCTCTACAACCAAGCCAGTTCCAAGCAGCTCATACAACTGACCAAATGTCTCAGAACCTCGGTCATGTCGCGAATCAAAGAATAAAAGCAGAGAAATAATTTCATATCTCATGGCTGAGCAAAGTAATGAACAACGGGCTGATCATCTTTAGCAGGAGTGTTGACGAATTGCTCCTTGACGTTTGAATGAACGTCAGTGCACTGCAATTCTTCAAACCTAAGTCAGTGTATGAGAGATATTATTGAAGAAGCATGTGACGCCCAGATTGCAAATGGACAGATGGAAGATCTGAAATACTGTGCTATCCTTGCTCCACTTAATGAGTTTTCTTCACATTCCACGAATGTTAACAGCACCTTAGATTCAAGCAAGTCCCATCTTGGAAATACAATGCAGCACCATTAGTTTCTTAAAAGTCTAGTATTCACAATTAACAGACTCAAAAGCCAAGGTCAATCACTGAAATTTGTGGGTGTGATCCTACTCAACTCACTGAGGTTTTCATAATGGTATGCTTCACATGGCGTTCTCTAGGGTTAAGAACCGAAACGGCTTGAAAATGGTCTTACCGCCAACAAATCCTACTTACACCCGCAACGTAGTATGGAAAGAAGTCATAAATAATCATTCAAATGCTCCTCCAATCCCGTCACACGACAACCCAATCTATATGGAGGTTAAATTGTACAGCATTATGTGTATTGCAATATTTTAATCACCTAAAATGAGTTTACATTGCTTACATAAAAAATATTTTTTTAAATTTAGCCAATTAACTTATTCAATTAATGTTTAGTCAAACGTGAGCAAAGCTCGGTCTCCTGGTAGATGTTTGTCCAATCAGAACACCTTATTTATCCTCTATGCACCTTATCCAGTACATCTTCCTTCTACCATGAAGATATAAGATTATGATATTTTACTTAGTCATAGAAAAAAGAAAAGTAATGAACATAAACTGATGGAAGAATTGTATGAATATTGTAGAGTTAATCATAGCCAATTTAGTTTTGATCTCTGGCTTGTTGACCTATATGCGTGTGTATTCTCAGATCAAATGGTTTTTATTGCAGGTATCTACTTTAGGAGTGTCTAACATACTACTGATTAATGATTATATGAAAACTGTCCTTATCTCTTGTACTGTACTATTAAATTTACACCTATCAGGTATATCCACAGGCATTATAACCTTTATGAACACTAGGGTGAATTGAAAAAAAATCAATATTTCTTTTTTTTTTGTAATACCTTGGAAGAGTTACTAAAAATTGTAAGAACAAAACAGGGTAAAATTTTTTTAAATATCGGTCGTTATCTTCCAGTTGCGCATGTGCTCTAAAGATTGAACAAAAAATGAAAAACTCGTATTTTTTCAAACATTTTTAAAATTTTAGATTTTATTAATATATAATAGTTGAAAATGCCTTCTGCAAGACTCTATTGATTTTTAAATACAGTAGAGTCCCTCAAACTCGGCGTAATGTGGAGTGGAAGGGTGCCGAGTTTGTGAAATGCCGGGTTATCGGGAACTTGAGTTAAAAATAAGAACAATACAATTTTAAGATTTGTAACCGCTTTTTTTATTAGATTTATATTACAAGTCAGTATTAAGTCATCAGATATAGTACAACAAATCCTTAGTACAAGTTGCAAATAATTATAATTGAGCTGGCGTGTGTCCATGTTTAACTCGGACAAAAAAATCACTAATTTTCTGAGCCACCCGGCCGAGTTATCCAGACTGCCGGGTTATCGAGTGCCGAGTTTGCGGGACTCTAGTGTTATAGTATTGTATGTTAAGATCTTCCAGTCGCGCATCGGCTGTAAACATTGTCAAAAATCTAGAAAAACTTAATTTTATACTAGACTTATTTAAAAAATAATTATTGAAATAAAAATAGAATACTGAAAATCTGCTTTTACAAATTCAGATAGTAACTTTAAAAAAAAAACGAACCAAGTCAGAATTGATGTTCTGGTTGCGCATAGCAATACAATTTCACTTGAGCACTATCGGCACTATCGGGCCAGTGACCCGAACAACGGCATGTGATTCCGAAGTTAAAGTTTCTCTGAAATTGAACAAAAGGGTGGTAATGATAATGTATCTCTGTGCTCACCAACTAAAATTGATGATTGTAGTGACAGCAACCAAGAATGTTTACCTGAAATTCCAAAAAAGAAGTCCTCATGTAGGCAAATAATGAGGATTAACCTTAACTCTACTGCATTGGTTAGTGATCGTTATGGTGTTTCCGATCCTTCTATAACTCTGCAATAGCCTCTTGTGTTTTGCATGACGTTGGCATAGTCACTAGGCCGAAGAGGAAACACATCAAAACATAAACTTTATTTGTTACAATTTTATGAGAATTGTTTTCACAGTATTCAAAGTCCTTAGACTTACAAAACTTACAAACTTAGACTTACTTTAGATACTTACAAAACTTTTATACAAATAATGTTTACCCAAAAAACTGTGCCTCTCTGCGACTCTACTAAAATTAAACATTATGTTATTATATTAATTCATATTTAAATTTGCTGTGAAGTATGTAAATTACAATCAATTTACTTTGTATACAAGCATTTCAGTTCAAATAATCCCACACAGAGTGCAGGTTTTTTCTAAATATAATCGTTGATAGCTAGACAAAAATTAGAAACTGTGCCCAAATTGATAAAATTATGTAACTTATCAGACAAAGTCACAAAGTAAATCATGTGATAAATAAATGTGTAGCTCTGTCTCAAAAGGAAATAGTCTGTATAAAAAATCTAGGGGGACAAAAGTGAGAAAATAATTTATCCAGGCGTAAAATGATTCATACTCATTTATAAAACTCATTCATTACTCTAGGCTATAAAACTCGGGTAGAATATTGCAAGCTCAGAGTTGTGTTTGTAATATTACAATGTCGTGAAACAGCTGATAATATCCCGTTCACTTGCTCAAAATGTAATGGCTCACCATCGTAAATTATGTTTTTTTTCGCCTGATTTTACAAGAATCTTACTTGCAAATTGTTAGAACTAGTGACTATGCCAACTTCGTGCAAATCATAAGAGGCAGTTGTAGCACAATCGGAAACACCATAAGGGCCGCTCCTCATTTGCCTACCAAAGGAATTCTTTTTTGGAATTTCAGGTAAACATTCTTGGTTGCTGTCACTACAATCATAAATTTTAGTTGGTGAGCACAGAGATACATTATCATCACCATCCTTATGAATTTCCGAAACTTTAACTTCGGAATCATATGACGTCGTTCACGTCACTGGCCCGATAGTGCCACGCTCAAGTGAATTTGAATTGCTATGCGCGACCGGATGAGCAATTGTGACTTGTCCGTTGGTTTATTGAGTTATTTTTCAAATAAGTCTAGTACAAAATGATGTTTTTCTAGATTTTTGGCAATGTTTACAGCCGATGCGTGACCGTAAGATATACAATGCTATTATTTAAATATCAATTCCTTAGTGTCTTGCAGATTGCTTTTTCAACTATTAAATACTAAAAATCAAACATTTTTAAATTTAAAAAGTTTTTGAAAAAATATGAGTTTTTCATTTTTTGTTTTAATTTTAGAGCACTTGCTCGACCGGAAGAAACGACTAATCTTACTAATATTATAAATGTGAAAGTTTGTTTGTTTGAAGTTCAATCATGCATAAACCACTGGACCGATTGGGCTGCAATTTGGCATGATGATAGCTCACATTCCCGATTAACATATAGGCATATTCTTATCTCAAAAATCCCTTCGGGCTCCACCCCAGTGGCTCTGTAGTTCCTCATGTTAATCTTATGAGTATTCATATTTAAAGGGAATTAAAGAATTTAGTCAGCTGTTTCAACTAAAAAAGTTGGTTCTATGATATACAAAAGCATTAAAAAGTTATAAGATTTACCAACAGGGTGCAGCACTATTTTTTTGCATTTATGTAAACAGCTAATTTGAACTAATACAAAAAACTGTGATACCCAATGAGAACTGTCAAAGTAGGATTGTTTACAGTTTTGTTCATGTTTTTAATGTCATGAATGGTTTGTGATTTTTTGCGAACTCTTAATAATTTAATTTTCTTTATTGTTTAGGTGAAGTAGTAGAACATTATGGCTATGGTAGATGTGTAATACCATAGTATACTGTCAATTTAAAGAAGCAAATTTTATCAAACTTTTTCCCCTCTATTGCAAACGCAAAGCTTGAGTATAACTGCAATAAGCATTTTAAACTTATATGCCAGCCCCGTACGATGGACGGGTACTCTGCTAGTATTTTTATATTTTTGCCCTTTTTTGGTCTTAAACTTTTTACAATTTAGCAACTTTTTTTCAAGGTATTACAAGTCAAAAAATAAATTATTGATTTTTCTCAGCCCACCCTAATGAACACACTGAGTATATAATTTGATTAACACTGCCTGTTCTCTGTTGTTTAGTGTGTCAACAGACTAGCTGTTGAGACCAATCACGTAGTAAAGGGTCACCACACACGCAAGACCTCTGCGTTTGTCAGGGCTTGTGCAGCATTCTGCTACATCACAATCCCATCAATCTTCTCAGTCACCACCAGACTACAGCTGTACCTGCTGACAGCCCAGGTGGCTTTGTCCAACCAGTGCCTAGGCCAAGGTATCATAGCTTGTAATATTTCATTCATTATTTAGTATTAAGTTTTTTTTTTAATGTTAACTTTTATTCATACACCTAATAATCACTCCTCAGAAAGGCTGCCCTAATATTCATTTTCCTAATTTATATAATTTCATTAATATGTTCAATTAATCATTAATAATATTCATTCATAGCCTATATTTTTTTTTTTACAAAACCCACAACCTAATTATTTATTAAATATGTAAGAGAATTGCAATACATCAAAATTTCTTATAATATCATTACAAAAATTAGTCCTTAAGGAATCAAAATTTAAGAAGCAGTGAAAGTGATCCCATGTGTTCAACAATGAGTGATGTGAACATTGAGGGAGAGAGAAGGAAGTCATTGAGAAGTTGAAATTGTTAGAAGAAGTAGTCAAAAAATTTTACCTAAATCAAATTCATTCATCAAGAAGACCAGTTTCAAGTTATATCACAGTAGCCTAAACCTCAAGAGGACTCAACTCCATCATTGTTATCTTCAAAATTAAGTATAACCTTTTTTTAAACTCTTTTAAATTTTGTGCTAATTGGACTTACCTTTTGGACAACACCAAAATTAGATTTTCCATTGTTGAGATTGTAAGTTTAACACCTTAATTAGGCCTATTTGGACACTATCAAATTTATTCATTCTTAGCATTCAAGCCAGCACGACACCCTACCCTGAGATATATCACATCTAAATTATTTGAACCTTCAAGTTATTATTCAAATTCATCTTTTATTTCAATTTAATTTCAACCCCACACACCATTGTCAATCCTTTCATTGTAACGTCAAGCCTTTTCTCATTGCATGTTAATTGTTCATTTGTTTTAAATAAAACACCATTTGTAATTCATATATCTTTGTCAACTTATTAACTTTAAACATTTATAGAATAGGCCTAGCCTAAATGAATATTGTAAGGTGAGTTTACAAGCTAAACCAAATTCATATCACATTTTATTCTTTAGGTAGTTTAGTACAAATTTTGACTAACAGTGAGGAACAAACTTCAGTCAGAATATGCTTTCTAGTATTGATCTGTTACAGTGGACGGTTGTCTGAAGGATGCCCTGAGCCTTGTGCCAGAAGTCCCGTCCCAGCTGGAGGTGGATGGCAAGATGAAGAGTTCAGAACAGTTCCTTGTCAGCTACTTTTGTCAACTGCTCTCCACATTGCTCGTTGTGCCGGTATGTTATAGTCAAACTACATGAATTAAAACTAAAACTAACACTCCACTTAAATATATTAAATACAAATTTAAAAACCTCAAAACACTAGTAGAGATCCAACTTAAAATGCCATAAATTATTATTAGTATGTCAACATTGGTATATATGATGACTAGCTGCTATGACCGTGCATTGCAACAGGAAGAGTATGGTAGGGCAAGATAATAATAATGGGGTTCTTTATAATTCGTTGCATGAAATTATTTTTGAATGAAATTTTTACATAAATGTATTAATATAAAAACCACAGCAGTTTTGGAAGTCAGTTGGGAAATGAGAGTTTCGAAATAAAAATAGGTCTATGTTTCTTTGTGGTTGGTCATATTTCTGCAAAATTTCACTCGATTGGTCCTATTTATTATCAGTATGATTATGATGTAATAAAATAAGAGATGTGGTAAAAAATAACAAGGATTTTTTTTGTACAAAATATTTACTCAAATGGTATCAGAACCTTCAGACTGACTAGCTAACCAGAGAAAATCTGTTGTACAAAGAATTTTGATAGCTAGGGAAAAGTTTGTAAGTTGGGGGTGAATTTTGTACGGGGGCGGAAACTCAGGAGTAATAGCTAGTAGCTTATGGCAGAGCATTCAGATTCAGATTCAAATGACTTTATTCAATATACACAGATAATAGCTCGCGGCCCCCCCCCCCCGCAAGTTGGTTCGCTGGGCCCCCCTCCCAATAATCTTAAAAACATTATCACATGTATTACCGCCTAAACTTGCACTTTAGCTTGGCACGGCGTTTCCAGAGGCACCGAGGCGTCATCATCGTTTTCCAAGATCGCAGCAAAATCGTGAATACTTCCTGTAATCATGAAAGAAACATTATCACAGTCTACCGTGATTGCAACCAAACCTATGACATCATCAGATAACAACATCATCGTCTCCCGCGTTCACGTCCCAATCCCTAATATCTCCATTGACCCGTGATGAGGGGAACATTTTTTTTCCGCAATCACGGCAAAATCAGAAATATATGGCTTGCGGAAAACGAAACGTCAATAACGTCTTCCGCAATCCGGTAATCGCGGCAAAGTCTGAACACACAACCCTTTATCCTAAAACCAGATCTGATTCTCTTGAACTAAAATCCCCTTTAAATCTCAACATATAACCTCCCCACACAAAGGCCTTACCACAAAGTTAGTGTACCCAGTGCAGTACTAACTCAACCTTCTCTGGTGTTCACTGGATACCCTTTTCAACTTACTCTTTTCTGAAACAATGGTGGCCTATTTTTTCCCAAAACTGCTACTGAGTGCAAAACATAAATACCTCTAGCTCGCTTCCTGGCTTGCAAGATGTAACCACAGGCCATCAACCTAGCTTGTCTAGCCTACCTTCCATAAAAATTTTAACCCTGTAAAAATGTCAGGTGGCTGTTCAAAGAAATTTTAGGTTTCAAATCAACAGTTGCAATTTTTAGTTGTGTTTCAGGACAGTCCAGAACAGGGAGTGCTTTACCTCATCAGAGGTCTGTTGAATGTTCTGCAGCATTACACGTGGGACAACAGCAGCTGTGCTCGGGCCCAAGTCTACCTGAGAGCTTTGGACATGCTATCCATCGCTGCTCAGGAGACATACCCCTATCATGTTAAGAAAGGTGATGATTCCATGTTAAATAAAATACCGGGTGATTCTAAATTATTGTTACACTTTTGAAACTCTATAAATGAAAACAATACAACCTATAATCACAGGTTGACAATAAATTGAAAGAGGAGATTCTAAAGTTTGTTTGACACAATTTAGGTAAACCAAGTTGCAAAAATAACCTCTACATAAATTTTTAAATTTTAACTACAATTTTAAATTAATTACACACTTTTTTACCTCTCTGAATCTCAAAAATACATACTGGTACTCCATGTTGAATTTTCAAAAGTTAATACCACTAGACTTTTAGTTCTATAATCAGTCAATTGGTTCTATAATTTACCGCTCAGTTATTGTTGTTCACCATTATTGTAAGTTGCAAGGAACGTGACTTCGAAAGAGCAAAAAGTATTCTGTGTTTTAGTGTTCATTGATTTTAAACTGTGGAATTAATTTAAAATTGTAGTTAAAATCTAAAAATGTCTGCAGAGGTTAATTTTGCAACTATGTTTAACAAAGTTGTGTCAAATAAAACTTTAAAATCTCCTCTTTAAATTGATTCTCATCCTGTGAACACCCGTCATAGGTGTTATAGTTTTTCACAGTGTTGGGGAAGCTACTTTTAAAATGTAGCTAGCTACAACTACTGCTACATTTCCAAAAAAGTAGCTTAGCTACAGTTCCGTAAAAGTAGCTAGCTACAACTACAGCTACAATGAAATGTAGCTTAGCTACAATTTTAGCTACTTTTCCAAAGACGTTACTTTTATTCCACGCACATTAGGTAAATGTAAAATTGATTGCAACTACATTTTTATTGAATGAACACTCAAACAACAAAATGGCGGTATTGTATCTAACATTACTTTGAGAACAACTTGTTCCTAGATTGTATTTAATTTGTTGGCATCATAAACCTAACATTACAACAACACAACCAAAATAGTTGGGTGTTCCATCATATTTAGTACTTATTTTTAAATATTGCATTTAGGGATGGACGGGATTGAATTTTTAGTTCGGGACGGGACGGGACGGGATTTTTATTTCCTTCCCAATTTTCGGGACGGGACGGGACGGGATTTTTTTCTGTGCATAAAAAGAAAGTACTGTATTGCAGTTACCAAAAAAGACATACGAAATCAATTTTTACCATTTGTGGCACTGATCTATAAAAACCAAAAAATGGGTAACAATTTACAGGTACCTATAGTAACTTGTGACTCGCGGGTCACGGGGTGATCGTCTGTATGACTCACGGTCACGGCGAGATCGTCGTCATGACTCGCGATCACGGCGCGATCGTCGGTATGACTCGCGGTCACGACGCGATCGTCGTCATGACTCGCGGTCACGGCGCGATCGTCGGTAGGACTCCGCGGTCACGGCGCGATCGTCGGTATGACTCCGCGGTCACGGGGTTATCGTCGGTATGACTCGCGGTCACGGCATGATCGTCGGTATGACTCGCGAACACGGCTCGATCGTCAGCATGACTCCGCGGTCACGGCGCTTTCGTCGCCATGACTCGCGGTCACGGCGCGATCGTCGGTATGACTCGCGGTCACAGCGCTATCGTCGGTATGACTCGCGGTCACGGCGCGAACGTCGGTATGACTCCGCGGTCACGGGGTTATCGTCGGTATGACTCGCGGTCACGGCGCGATCGTCGGTATGACTCGCGATCACGGCTCGATCGTCAGCATGACTCCGCGGTCACGGCGCGATCTCATGACTCGCGGTCACGGCGCGATCGTCGGTATGACTCGCGGTCACGGCGCGATCGTCGGTAGGACTCCGCGGTCACGGCGCGATCGTCGGTATGACTTCGTCTTCTGCGTTCGCGGACCTATCGCTCGCAATAACGGCGTTATCGGCACTCGCGAAGCGAAAAATCGCCGACGATCGGACCAAATCCCGTCCCGAAAAATTCCCGAGTCAAATTTAATCCCGTCCCAAAAACCGGGAATATTTTTTTCCCGAAAAATTCCCGAAATTTCGGGACCCGTCCATCCCTAATTGCATTATTTTTAAGCACCTTATGTAAATTTCATTAAGTTCAAAGGACATACAACCAAACTATATTTTAAAAGCTCATTTTATTTCTTTAATGTAAATTCATTTATAGATGTCTTACATCAACTATTAAAAGCCTACTGAAATTTAAGTTTATTCCAAGTAAACCTTTCTTTATTTTTACTGTAATGTTAAAAACAACATTTCTATAACTGTTGATCATTTTACTGTAGAAAAGGTATACAGGGTTGGGCAAATGTATGGATACCCCTAGTTAACTTTTTAATGGGTGACACCAGGAAAACTAAACTCCACATACCTTCATAAAAAATAAAATTGCACTTTTTGGATGGTATCCCAATTTTTCCCGGGACCCCAAAATGGGGTATTTTGGGGGTAGCTTCAAAATTTTAAATGTAAAGCCCCATCGAGTGACACCTCATTTAAAAGGCCTTTATTAAAGAAGAATATCAGCGAAAACTAGAGGTCTCTATCTCAACCCAGTACGACATGGCGGTCATTTTAAATTTTCATCAGCCTGAGAGAACCCATTTAAATGTAGGCATCAATATCCCATATTCACTTTTTAGCGGGTTATACCAGGAAAACTAAACTCCGCATACCTTCATAAGAAAAGAAAATTCACTTTTTGGTCGGTATCACAATTTTGCCCGGGACCCCGAAATGGGGTATTTTGGGGGCAGCTCAACAATTTTAAATGTAAAACCCCATCGAGTGACACCTCATTTTAAAGGCCTTTATTAAAGAAGAATATCAGAGAAAACTAGAGGTCTCTATCTCAACCCGGTACGACATGGCGGTCATTTGAAAATTCATCGTACAATTTAACCTCATTAAAAGTTTCTCTCATGTTGATGAAAATTTAAAATGACTGCCATGTCGTACTGGGTTGAGATAGAGACCTCTAGTTTTCGCTGATATTCTTCTTTAATAAAGACCTTTAAAATGAGGTGTCACTCGATGGGGCTTTACATTTAAAATTTTGGAGCTACCCCCAAAATACCCCATTTTGGGGTCCCGGGAAAAATTGGGATACCGTCCAAAAAGTGCAGTTTTATTTTTTATGAAGGTATGTGGAGTTTAGTTTTCCTGGTGTCACCCATTAAAAAGTTAACTAGGGGTATCCACACATTTGCCCAACCCTGTATACCTTTTCTACAGTAAAATGATCAACAGCAAAAACATTATCACGTAGAGATGGGTCAAGCTTATTCAAATAGAAAGACACATTTTGGGCAGATTGTGATATACCTTGTACAACTGATTTGACACTACTAGTGCAATGTATTCCCTTAGTAATGGTAAGAGTTTAGATGTGTACGGTCTCAACTCCCGGATTTTAAAATTGGCAGATTGTAGAAATTTTATTGTAGAAATTGTGTCTTATTTATTTAATCAGTGTATTGCTAATGGTAGGTATGTTTCCTTAGTGTTTAAAGTTGGCCAAAGTTGTGCCCTTATTTAAGAAGGGAGATAAATCAGAATTATCCAACTATAACCAATATCAATAATTCCTGTCATTGGCAAGGTATTTGAGGTTTTATTAAATAAAAGAATTGTAGAATATTTAGAAGGAAATCACTGTTATTCTGTCAATCAATATGGTTTCAGGCCTAAACGTAGTACATCCTTTTAGCGAATTTCCCTAGGGAAGTAGCTATTACCGTAGGTGGCATGGTAAGACCTAGGCCCGGGACCGATTTACTTTTTCATTTTGATGTCCCCAGGGGCCAAAAACACCATTCGTTAAAATTTTTATATATGTGTATATATATATATAATAAGTATGGTTGTGATTAGGGCTACTACTACAGGGTGACAAAAAAGTCTGGAAACGGCTTGATATCTTTTTAACTAAATTTGTTAGAAAATTCAAACTTTTCACATCAACTCATATGCATGAAAACTACTTTTTGCAAGCATTACCATTTTTTTTACCTTCACCGGGGGACGGCCCATGAGGAGTAGGTACATAATCTTTAATGTAAGCATAGGTTGATTGATATGTACATCATTTTAAAGGTCTGGTCAAATGGAGTTCATTGCCGGAAACGACGTTCAAAAAAGTTCATCCGTTACAAAATGGCGGCAGTCCAAAGTTCTTGCAAAATATACCTGCAGAGGCCTTAGTATTGGTAAATACTCACATTCAACATTAGCCGGAAAAATCTGAAACCCGTTTAAATTTGTTTAGAAGATTGAATAATATTAGTCTATGGGCTAGTTGACTTTAAAATACAGTTTCAGCTCTCAAGCTTATGTTTAATACGAGTATTTACCAATAATAAGGCCTGTGCAGGTATATTCAACAAGAACTTTGGACAGCCGCCATTTTATAACGGATGAACCTTTTTTGACGTGGTTTCCGGCAATGAACACCACTTGACCAGACCTTTAAAATTATGTGCATATCAACCTATGCTTACATTAAAAATTATGTACCTACTCCTCATGGGCCGTCCCCTGGTAGAGGTAAAAAATGATAATTCTTGGAAAAAGTAGTTTTTATACATGTAAGTTGATGTGAAAGGTTTGAATTTTCTAACGGATTTAGTTAAAAAGATATTAAACCGTTTCCAGACTTTTTTGTCACCCTGTATATTAAGTACCCTTTTATCTAAGGGTACTTAATGTTGTTATAATGTTTCCAATTATTAATATATATATATATGATATGTGTGTGTGTCTGTGAACGCGATAACTTGAGTAATTTTTGTCCGATTTTGATGAAATTTGGTTTAAAGGTGTAAGGCAAGATAAACTTGAATGAGTTCGCGAACCAGCATGATCGGACCATGGGAACGGGGTTTTACAGGGGGGTTTTATGGGGTAAAAATTGGTTTTTCTCATTTTTGACCCTCAAAACACAAAATTTCCCAATTTCTCTCGAGACCTCTTTAAAGAGCTTAAAAAAACAAATAATTTACTATGCAAAAGTGTTTTTGTACGGTTATTGGTAACGGAGAAAATTCAAAAAATTGAAAATTTAAAATTCCTATGTTATTCTTATGGAGAATATTGTAAAATGTTGTAGTTTGCTTGTAAATGGATATATTTTGATCAAACTTGGCAATTTTATTTATTTTATACTAAGCTATTAATATTTTATTAAAAAACACACTTTGTTAGATCCCTTGTAGCAGCAAACCTAGGTACTCGTTAAACCTCAATTATCAATTATGTGTTTGATTGTTATAAATGTATTAATTATAATGTAGTAAAATTTTTAGGATTAAGTGTTCAAATCAAACATCAAATGGAACTCCCACATTGATCTGGCTTGTATTTAAGTGGCAAGGGGTGTTTTTATGTTAAAAAGACTTAAATCTTTTATTAGTGTAGAAGTTTTAAAGGCTGTGTACTTTGCTCATATTCAGAGTCATCTTTAGTATTGCATTATTGTGGTCACTCTAGTAATTAAACAAAAAAAAACTCCTAATCTTGCAGAAAAGAGCGGTTAGAGTGATGCTTAATGTTAGTTCTAGGACTCATTGTCAGCCTTTGTTTAGGGAGCATAAAATATTAACTGTTGTGTCTTTGTCTTTGTATATATTGGATCGTTTAATATATATCAAAAATAACTTGGATGATTTCCCTACAAACGAATCTGTACATTACCACAACAATTTAAGTTTACAATTGTAAGTTTTTGTGAGTTTGGGAAAAAAGCTTTTAACTTGTTGCCGAGTAATATAAAACGTCTGAATTCTAAGTCTTTTAAGAACACCATAGTAGCAATGTTATGTAGTTTAGCTATATATAATGTTGATGAATTTTTAGATAATATAATTTCATTAAAATAGTTTTTAAACTTTTGCCATGGATAATAAGATATTCTGTGTACATTTGACGGTGCTATACAATGTATTTTGTTTTGGCAATAAACGATTTGATTTGATTTAACGCTACAAAAAATGTAGCACGCTACTTCCCAACACTGATTTTTCATTTATAGAGTTTTAAAAGTGTAACAATAATTTAGAATCACCCCGTATATACTACAAAACTTTTATACAAAGAAATGTTATTGTTGTCCAAAACTAAATCAGTTTTGTTATGGACTGTAGACTGTAATTGGTATAATATAGTATTGTAGAAATATTCTCAAAACTTGTTTTTTTAGTACAAAAAATTCCTGAAGAATAATACTGTCACTTGCCATGTAAAAGAGCGAGATTGAGAAATCTTTATTTCTAAGTACTTCTACCTCTTCCAAGAAAACTATGCTTGTGTTTGAGCAAATTATAATGTTTTATTTTCAAATTTTACATGTAACAAATTTCTTTGGTACGAACTTTTTTTATTCTATAACTAGGCCTAGCTCTTTATTTTCAAAACTACAGTTAAAATCATGTTTTACCAGGATAATAGGGGCGGGACTGTTCCAGGTAACTAGTGGTTGATAAAAGTCAATTTTGGGGTCTGTTACTTAATTTGTGTTTTTGTATATAGGATATACCTGTATAATTTGTTTAAAGCACAATCATTTAAAGTAATGCTAATGACATGTTTATTTTCAGTTGATTCTAATGATGTGTTGTACGGGTCTGATCCAAAGTTCATCGCAGAGATTAATAAAATGTGTTCATTGATCGTAGAGGAAGTGTTGAACCAACTGAAGGTGTTGGGAGCAGCAGAATCATACCAGAACCAGGTACAATAATTGTATAACCAGTGGTGTAGTGGGGTGGGAACAGACCTGACTGTGTTTGATCAAACCCTATATTTTAATAGGAATAGACTGGCTTAAGTTGATCCATTGTAATGGTTACGTCATTGCCTTGAATCCGAACAACTCCAGTCTTATCAGATTTGCTAATGACGAGGTAAGGACCTGAGTAGATAGGATCGAGTGCATCCATGCATGTGGTGAGACCATTGAACATGAAAAGGGGTCCTACCTCCATGACTTGTTTTATCAATTGGGCTTAGGTTGTTGAAATTTGTATTCATATCTAAGGCAAAACTTTGTAGATCAAGTTTATCAAGTGGTATTGCTGAGTTTAATAAATTCTCCAGGTAGGCGAAGTGGTTGAACATATATGAGTTCAGCTGAAGAAGCTTGTAGATCATCACGCCAAGTTGTCCGTTGTAATGGTAAAAATATTACGATATCAGAAAATGAGCGTTCAGAAGATTTAAAATATCCCACGCGGAGTCATTAGTTCTCCGAGCAGCCACGCGCTGCGCTATCGTCACAACCCGTATAAATACGACGCAAGACAGGGGACAGTCACTCGAGTGCTGGGCGAATAGCTAGCAACCTCTCTCCCTAGTAGGGTGAGGGCAGAACAGCGCGGTAATTAACCAGTGGTGGAATAACTGTGGTAGCATCAAATACAAGGGTTAGGCCAAGGGCGGAATAGCTCTTGGATCTGTGCACACCGTGAAACCTTAGGTCAAGGGCGGAATATCCCTGTAAATAAACCAGTGGTGAAACAACTCTGGTAGCGTCGGACACTTTTAGGCCAAGGGCGGAATAGCTCTTGGATCTGCGCGAAACGATAGGTCGAGGGCGGAATAGCCCGGTAAATAAACCAGTGGTGAAATAACTCTGGCATCGTCGAATATTAGGTGTTAGGCCAGGGCGAAATAACCCATGGACCCGCGACAATCGATTTGGTTTATTTTAAGCATTGTTTGTTTTAATTCTAAAAGTGACACACGGTATATCCATTAAGTAGAGATTTGTTTTATTTTCGAAGTTAACAATTTCAGTTAGTTACGACCAGTGCTTCACTCAAAGAATTAAAATCAATTAATCTAAGGTTGTTTCTTTTGTTTAACGAAGGTTTAAATCGAACAGTGATGAATGTGTCATTTACTGAAAGCTGATGCTTTAACGACCATATCTGAGCCCATATATTTAAACTAAACACTATTATTATTACTACTAACCCTGGACTTACTCAATTAGATCAGATATCCGAGGCCGACAGTACAATTTTGTCCCAGGACGAAATTAAAACTGTGACGTAATTTTCCTGGCGACAGGTGGGAAATTATCCACTGATACGAGAAACGAGATCCCAGGAATCACCCAAGTCTGGTCGCGGGGATTTTCCCAGGATTCTATAGTGATTTGGATAGCCTAAAGTTGATAGCCCTGGTTATCAGAGCTCGAGACGAACGTTGCGGGTTACTAAACACCACACTTGAAATCACCACTCTAGTCTGGGGCTTGTGGGAAAATTAATAATTTTAACTTGACTCTGTGGGCAAATATCTATGTGACACTCTACTAGCTAACTTAACGAGACAACTAGTAAGCTAAGTAGTCACCCCGCATACCTACGGGGTTGAGACGTGAACCTGTAACAAACAAGGTTAGTACAAGATAGGCCTAGCCTAGCCTAACTCCCACAGAGTCCGAATTTATTAAAAACAAAAAAACCAAGTTGGCTTAAGTTGACCAGGTGAGGCACGAAACGGGAAAAACTGAACTAAAAATAAAACTGCTCCTGGAGCCAAAACGACAAATTAAAATTATGCTTCCTCACGTGGTTGACTTAAACCAGCTTTGACCAAACTTATCCAGATGAGACCTGTCTGTTGGAACGACCACAGAACGTTAACGTTAACTTTAAAGTTTTAATAATTGAAGAAAAGAAAAGTCGCCAAAACGGGCTATGAAACGTCGATTTGAAAAATGAGTCACCAACTGACGATAATCGATAAAAGTAGTTGGTTACACACGTATGGCGGGGCGGAGGTTCAGGCCTAGCCTGTGATGGGAATGTTGCTGGAAGTCAACAGTGCCGGAAGGTCAAATAATTGATACCTGTGCCGCTAGGTCAAAAACTACCATGTTTGCAGTGTCTGTAGATCAAAAGTCCCAGTAAGTCAAATAATACAGTCCGTGCTAAAAACGTGGTCCATGTTAAAGCGATTGACACATTGGGAATTTGATCTAATGCAACAGCAGTTTTAATATAACGAAATACGGTAAAATACAAGTTCAGTTTCGCTGAGTCAACAGTGCCGGAAGATCAAAAGCAATTAAAAGTGAACGTCGATTCAGTGTAAAGTAGACCTCCTGCAACGCTTACTACACAAACAAAACTCGCTTTTAGTTACTTTGTGTTTTGTCATAATTAGAATAGAGCTAAAATAATCATATTTGGTACATATCTTATCTATTAATGCTTCTTGCCAACTGTTTGGTCAACACTGTAAATAGGTATAGTTTATGTAATAAAAAGCCTTTCGTCAAAATTTGTGGCATGAAATACACGCAAGAACGATCTGAAAATTTCTGGTTATTATATACGTTTGTAAATGGAGGTCCATTTAATTTTAGAACTATTTTATGAGTTATAATGTAGTCTACACATAAACTGTGTAAATGTATTACGCCTCGGAAGGGTTGAAACCTGTCCAAACTATCATATATATTATTAAAACGTAAATGGGGTTTTTCACATTCTGAATCAACCAGTCGACGGATTTTCATTATTTTTGTGTTGAAAGAAAGATAATTTTGAGAACAAGGGAATGTCAAAGCCATAATTATAATTAAGGGTCCCAGTTTTTAGAAATTAATTTTTAATTTTTAAAAAGTCTATCAGCCGACGCTAACCTTCTAAGCTAGCTTTTAGTACAATATAATTTGCTTAACATAACAGGTGTAAACCTTCAGCGTTTGTGACACAAATTCAGCATTTGGAAACAAATTTAAAGATATATTTAGAGTTGACTTATTTATACTATGTGTAATGCTGACCATTGATACATTCAATTTAGGTATGAGGATGGCAGATTAATTAAATATGCATAGTAAAATAGTAGGATGTTCAAATTATTTTTTAAAGGAATCTTTGTAATCATCGATTTGTTTTAGTCCCATATAATTTGTTTTAACTAACAGCTGGTTGAACGTAATATTGTTCTATATAACTATTAGGTTTTTGGTGAATGTCCCATATAAGGGAATAAGCTATTACCGTAGTACTTATGGTAACACCTGGACCCGGGACCGATTTAATTTTTCGTTTTGAGGTCCCTAAAGGCCAAAAACACCATCCGTTCAAATTCATATACAGGGTGATTGATATAAGTGTGCCAGCCGTTTTATTCAAAAACCATGAGAGATATAAACAAAAGTTAAATGGTAAGTGCCTTGGATTTTTTATTTAAAAAAATTATAGTCAAGTCAAAAAAAATATTTTAGCCGCCAACTTTGATTTTTCTTATGGAACACCCTGTATTTCATGATGTATTCCGGTAGAAAATGTAATTTTAAGACGATTTTATTCTTGTAACTTTTTCATAAACCTAACCGTTTCAAAGATAATAATGGTTTAAGTTGTGAAATTTTGAATGGTTTTCGAATAAATGCTTGCTTAGGCCTTTATCGAAACTCTTTCTCATGCAGAAATTTCAAAACTTTAACCATTATTATCTTTTAAACGGTTAGGTTTATGAAAAAAATTACAAGAATAAAATCGTCTGAAAATTACATTTTCTACCAGAATACATCATAAAATACAGGGTGCTCCATAAGAAAAATTAAAGTTGGCGGCCATATTGGAAAAATGGCGGCTAAAATAATTTTTTTGACTTGACTACAATTTTTTAAATAAAAAATCCAAGGCACTTACCATTTAACTTTTTTTGATATCTCTTATAGTTTTCGAATAAAACGGCTGGCACACTTATATCAATCACCCTGTATACAGGGTAACTCAAGGAGGCCACCATTGGGAAATCGGAAACGGTAAGAATTGGAGAAAAAGGGATGGACGAGATTGGATTTTTAGTTTGAGACAAGACGAGACGAGATTTTTTATTTCTCATAAAATTTTGAGACGAGATCGAGACGGGATTTCCCTTCTCATACACAACGTATTCAAAATTTTTACCTGATTTTGTAACATTGTTAGATGACTGTTTAAATACAAAAATAATGATAATAGGCAAGAATATTTACAATGTTTTATTAAAAAACATCAGCATACGATTTTTTTATTAATCACGCCTAACTTATTAAAAATGCCTACGATTAGGAAACATAGTGATATCAGTTAGGATAGAGTTCAACTTATCCTAAAATAAAATAAATCATAAAATAAAAGCAATATTAATTTTTATAAAATAGTTAGGTACTTGTTTTGACTTTTTATAGTAATAAAACATTCCTTACACTGCTTACACTTAACAAAACTAATCAAATGTTATTAAAGTAATATTATTAAAATAATTAAAGTAATATTTACATTTAAAGAATTAATTCAATAAGAACGCCTTCGCAAAGGAAACGCAACTACAACACGCTCCTGTATTGCGGGTATTGCATTGACTTTCTGCAGGCGTTTTTAATTTTTCTTTTTTTTTTTTTCTCGTCTCGATAAAAATCTCGGCCAAAAAGAAATCTCATCTTGTGTAACGAGATTTAAAATTTCCCGAAAATTTCCCGAAATTTCGAGACTTGACCATCCCTAGAGAAAACTTTAAATGGGGGCCACAAAAAATAAAGGAATATCCTCCATTTTAAGTTTTCTCTAATTCTTACAGTTTCTGATATCCCAATGGTGGCCTCCTTGAGTTGATCATCCTGTATAGCCTATATTTATTTATTTATATCTTTTTCCCGGGGGGAACCCCAGGACCCCCCTCCTTTTTGGGGGGTATTCCATACCCCCCAGGCCCCCGGTG